GATATTTCAACAATTCTCATAATTTTTGCAAAAGGCTGTATGAGCAAAAAAGATCATAATTTGTGCATATTGCTGTATTTTATAACATGATTTGCATGTAATTATGTTTAGAAAATATACAGAGCTAGATGATAGTGCAAAGAGCTAATGTATTTCATAAAATCTTTTATAGAACTTGTGCCTGCTGAACCTTCAAAATCAAATCTAGTTCCTCTAGCTATCTACATAACACTTGGTTTACTACTTGGTCTGTCATTAATCATCCATGGCTTTCTAGTCTACAAACTATTGAAATGCAGGAAGAAAAAAGATTTAGCTGTGGAAACTAAAGAAAAACCTGAGAAAATTGAAATTATAGTAACATGTGAAGGTACTGAGAAAAAATCATCGCAAGTAGAACTCCAGCCACTTGTGGAATCAACCACTGACCAGCCTACCACAGAGACTGAAGACACACAGGAAGGCACGGAATCCAATGGCACAACGACACCGAAAGATGATCAAGGAGTTGAGAATGAGAAAGACGCCAAAGAAAGTGAAACTGAAGGGAAATGCAGCAGTGAATGCGGTGGTTTGAAACAAGMAAAAGATCAAACAAAGTACGTGGAGTTACCTCAGAATGAAGAAAATGACAAAGCTCCAGCCCGTCCCAATKCAGAAGGATGTTTACTCATGTAGCTCTTTTAATTAGAAGAGCCGTRTTTTTTTAGCGTAAGAACTTGTTCTGAACCGCGGATGCTGTAACTTGGCTCCTTTTATGTCAAGAGCCGGCTTTTTAGCATAAGAACTTGTTTTGAAATCTTGAAACGCGAGTATTTAATCAGTGTAAGTGTGCTTGTTCTACTGCTTTGCTATTTTATTACAATACGATACTATTGAGATTAAAAATGTTTTAAAAGACTAAGAAATTTCAGAAATTTATCAATCAATGTAATGCTTTACAAATGGTTACTTTCTTAATAAAGGTTTATTCTCACAATTAATGATACACGGGTATACAGTATAGACATAGAAGAACTAGAATCAGTTGAGTGTTGAATTGTAGTCCATAGT